ATCTTTAACATATCTTGTGCTTTGCTGACCGTCTTTGGATAATAATCCACTTCCCTGCAATAGTTTGTCTGAAGATCCAGCATCAGAGGAGCTGTTCTCGTTTGATCGCAGTTGCAAAGAAATCCTGTTGCAATGACTGCTTCAAAGATATCATCCTTGAACTTGTCTTTAGCAGTAGTATTGGTGCTTGCAATAGCAGCATAAACTTTCGTCTTGACTGCAAAATTTCGGAACCAGGCAACGCCATAAAGATCTTGCATGACTTCAGCTTGTCTCAAGAATTGTTCCCTGAAATGCATCAAGTTTTCTGTTGTTCCTTGCTTCTTAGCAAAGAACTTTTGATTCGCTTCCCAGAAATCCAAGATTCGCTTCCCAGAAATCCAAGAAGTCATACTCAGCATCAGCACTCTTCTTCATAAATCGTTCAACACGTTTCAAGAGTTCGATTGGATCTTCAAGAGTAGTCGTGAAATCGGCTTCACCTCAAAGCTTGATATCCATCGCCTTCGTCACAAACTTCAGCATGACGTTTGATTTGACGGTTCTCTTGTTTGTTTTGAAGTAGGCTGATCTTCGCATGTTCTTGTCAAGCTTTGCAGAATAGAGACTGTTTCTCTTGCAACAGCTTCAGTTTGAGTTGGAGCGTTCAATCTTGGAGTAATCGCATTGAAGTTGATTGACTTTCCATCTCGAATTGACTTCACCATGTCTTCGGAACATTCCATTCCAGAAGCTTGGATATAGTCGATCACTCTTTCTTTGGCATCTTCGTACGACGATCTTGCCTTTCCATCGTTTTCATCTTTTGTTGACTTTTTGAGGAGTCACATGTCCTCTTCCACCACCGGATGAAAAACATCCCATTGTCAACGAATCACTCACTCCTTTGTAGATAAGGGAGTGCTGTTCTTGACGTAAATTTGTTTTGTTGACTTTTGTGATTCAATGTTAGAATAAAGCAAAATGTTCTCTATCGTGAGTGCCTTTAGCGCTAAGAACAAACTCTCTGCAATCTAAATTTGTAGTCGACTGTACAACACTTTCACGACAATAGTTCTCCTGTGGCTAGGTATACTTCAAGTGAAATTGTTCCTATTTGATTAATGTTTGGCTTGAATTGATGATTCAATCACAAAAGTGAGTTCGACGATTTTCCCTTGGAAAATGCCTTGTTTACAGAACTCAATTCGGCTTCTACGGCAATTCTGTGTTGAATGCAGTACTTTGGGATATCTTGCATTATTCCCTACTGCATCGTATACAACATCGATATTCCACTTGTACAGTATCTTTTCTTGTTTGTGTGGATACAGATTGTCCGACAGACTTGCGTCCGGCATACTTGCGTCAAATCCCGACATCTTGCACGATCAAATTCCGATCGCACGTGTCCAAAACCTCGTACTTGAATAGTTTCGTTTGGAACGTAAAAACTCATATTTCGTCATATCCCAACAAATGGTCCATGGCTCGATATCCTTGTGGACCACTGGTCCACGGCTCGACTGGCTCGTGGACCACTTGTCCATGGCTCGACTGTCTTGTCCTAGCAACCGTTCCGGTCAGCATTCACTAAAAAGTGGTCTGATCATTCACATTTTATGCCAGGGGAGTGTCTCACAAACATTGTATTCTTCTTCAAAGCACTCTTGCGAAGAGGAATTGCATTTAATATTTCTACAAAATTTCAAAGGGATTTCGGACTCTTCGTCGGAATGTCAAAACCCATAATTCGGCGACTAAGATTCCTTTTTCAGTCTTCCGCATATAAGATGGCCGACCAATACGACCAAAAATCTTGGAATGACTTTGGATTTCTTGGTGAAAGGGAATCTCAAAATCCGCATGGACAACTATGTCAAGAACATGTTGGAAGATTTTCCTATTAATTTCAACAAGGATTCAAAGCAGTAAACACCAGCTGGTAGCAGTTTACTGGAGGCTGGGAAAGGAAAGTTACTCAATGCTGAGTACCGTCAAATCTTTCATACAACTGTTGCAAGGGGACTTTATGTCTCTAAGAGAGCTCGTTTGGATATCCATCCAACCATTACTATTCTTGCCTTGAGAGTTCAAGAACCTACAGAGTCTGATTGGAAGAAGTGTGTTTGCATGATGCAATATTTGTTTTGTACATGGTTGTATCACCTGACACTTTCCACAGAATCACTACGAGTCATGAACTGGATGATCAACACATCATTTGCGGTGCATCCTGATTTCAAGAGCCATACTGGCGGCACTCTGTCCTTTTGAAAAGGTGCAGCTCAAGTGATGTCAAAGAAGCAAAAGCTAAACAGCAGAAGCAGTATGGAAGCGGAACTGATTGCTGTTGACAATGTTGTCTTGTCACGATGATACTATGGACAAAGTTGCTCATGGAGTGGCAAGGGTATCTGATCAAGAAGAATATCTTGTATCAGGATAACAAAAGCGCGATTCTACTGGAAGAGAATGGTCGCAAGAGCGCAGGCAAAAGAAGCCGAGCTATCAATATTCCTTATTTCTTTTCACAGATCAAGTTGAGAAAGGGAATGTTAAGATCAAATACTGTCCAACTGACGATATGATTGCGGATTTTATGACTAAGCCATTGCAAGGTGAGAAATTTTGCAAGTTCAGGGATCTGATTCTTGGTCCACAGGACTAGGTCAGACAGGTATGTATATGTTCAAAATGAAAATACAAAACAAAAATAAAAAGTGAATGAGAGCATGACCCATTTCTGATTGGTGATTGTCACAATGGCAGGAGTGTCTTGGGATATGACGAAATATGAGTTTTTACGTTCCAAAAGAAACTATTCAAGTACAAAGTTTTGGACACGTACGATCGGACTTTGATCCTGATGTCAGGATTTGACGCAAGTGTGCCGGACGCAAGTCTGTCGGACAATCTACATCCACACAAAAAGGGAATGACCCAATACAAATGAGATATTGGTGTTGTGTACGATGCAGTAGGGAATAATACAAGATGTCCCAAAGCACTGCATTCAACACAGAATTGTCGTAGAGGTCGAATCAAGTTCTGTAAACAAGGGATTTTCCAAGGGAACTTACTTTTGTGATTGAATGTTAGAATAAAGCAAAATGTGCTCTATCCTGAGTGCCTTTAGCGCTCAGAACAAACTCTCTGCAATCTAAATTTGTAATTGACTGTACAACACTTTCACGACAATAGTTCTCCTGTGTCTAGGTATACTTTGAGTGAAATCGAGAGAGAGAATTAAAACCGTTGGAGAACAAGTTATAATCTGGTATTCGTACCAAAGAACAAAGTAACAGAACTAAAGACAGTAAAGCTATCCTTGAAGCACAGCACAATCTATGTTTCCAACAGATTGGGAATGAGATTAGCACAACGCTATTCTAATCGCTTGTTGCATGATGCAGATCAAGGCCAAGTTTGATGCTGACGAAGGTCTGAATTTCATTCAACAGTATTACATCAACCAAGGACTGAAGAAGTTTGGTGATGATTGAAAGGTTGCTGTGGATAAGGAATTGAGACAAATGCTTCTGAGAGATTGTTTCACTCCCAAATTTGTTAAAGACATTACTGCGTCTGAGCGAAAGAAGGCCCAATCAGCAATGATGTTGCTCGCGGAGAGAAAATTCGGAAAGACAATCAAAGGTCGCCCAATATACCAAGGCGATGGAACTTGTGAATGGTTATTGCGAGAGGACACTGCAAGCCATATCCCAATAAGGACAATCAAAGTCAAACTATGGGGTGAACAATGCATCAAGATGGTTCTTTTCCACATACAGGAAGCTGAACGGACTTGACCCTGATAGATTTGGCGACGACAAAATTGCAAATGAAAACTTGCAACACTATTTTAATGGTATTTGCCATTTCTTTTGCGCAACTCTCATCCCAACCCATCGGAAGTATGATGAGAACTTTGAGCCAACAGATCCCAATTGGAAGGAGTTCCTAAAGAAAGGTTCCTTGAAACAGTATATTGGCCAACACTTTTTGGATTGCCGCCTGCAGCATAAGAATCATCCTCATTGTGCTGCTTCCCTGATAGCTCACCATCGGCAAGTCACAGCAGATCTTGGAGCAG